GAGAGAATTAACAATTTGAAAAGATAAATATGAGAGAGAATAATTTTTTTAAAAAAAAATGATATATAGAATTAATTGAAAAAGAGAGATAAAATAGGAAGAAAATTGGGACACATAAATTTTTAAAAATAATGACATTTTTGACATTATTGCTAATATTTATAAAATATGGATATTTTTACTAAACATGTTATTTATTTTGACTACTTTACTAATTTTTCCTTAATTCAAATTAAGGTAAAATGGGCTGACGAAAATTTTAGGAATGGGCCAATGGAAATAGATGAAAAGGGCCCAAATTTTACTCTTAAGAGATTGGAGGATGAAAGGGTAAGGCCAGATTTAAATTAGCCATTAGATTATCATTGGCCAAGTGAAATTACAACGTAACCAAATTTAGTTAAATTAGCGAATTCGGCCAAAGTTTAAATAAATTGAATTGACGTTTATTAATTGACGAGCTTTTTAGTTAAAACAAGATAAAATAATTAACTTAATTATAACTAGAGACTAAAAACATAAGAATACTAATTTAGACAAAGTTAATTTATTAAAGTGTTAAGCAAAACTAAAAATTTTTTTGAGATGATTTTTGAGTATTTTATGAAATAAGGTAATTATATAAAACATATAAAAGATATATTATTTAAATTATAAAAAAAATCGACTAAAGCTACTTTAAGATGACTTTAAGAAAGATATTTTGAGTTTTATAAAGTTATTATTTCAACTCGTTTGGGATGTAAGAAGCTCGTGAATTAATTCCTTTCGGAGAGGGTCAAAACTGGTTGTCAACAAACACTTCGATGTTCTTATTGGTTCCCACATATTTACTCTTGCTAACTGGGCTAGTGCCCTTGGGAGCTTATTATCTTGGGCGATGGTCTTATTGGTATCCTTAGTTTAGTCTTGCTTGCTACAACTAAAAATTTAGAGCTTAAAAACAAGTAATGGCAACCTACAACAACTCGAATTTTCTTCGAATGGAGAGCCTATGGTAGTTCCAACCATCCACATACATTCCCCAACAGTTCGTGATTACATGACTTCAAACCACTAAAAATGGAGTTAAATTTATAGTATAATTGCTGATGGAAGTTGGTACTTACACTGCCTTGTATTTTCCTCTTTGCTAATGCAACTTAGAGGTGTCGCAAATTCAAAAAGCAAGATGTTTAACCTTTGAAAATGTGGCAAGAATCCTTCGAACGTGAAGGCAAGGAAAGCTCAGGGCCTGCGAATGCGGTGGAGTCCCTGCGAAAGCAAAGGCCAGAGCCTAACCCTTTTCAAACGTGGTCTGGACCTTGCAAAGGCGGTGACCGAATCTCTTGATCTCTGCAAACACATCCCAAGGCTTGAGAAAGCAAAGACCAATTTTGGCTTGCACCAACGGATGCATGTCATCTAGTTTTTGCAACTTGAAAAACTCTGATGGTGTATTTTGAATTCGTTTAGAATCTCGTATATAAAAAAGAGATATGCTACCCTAAAAAAGCAAACCCTCATCCTAGCTGACTATTAGCGGAAGACTAACCTAATCACACAAAAGCTTAAATACTAAAATAAAAGTTCATAAAAGTTACTAACAAGCTTTAACCCAAAAGAAAATATTGAATAATCAAATATATACTAACCTAAAAATAGGCAACTTAAGTCTTTATAAGATTAAATAAAATAAATGAATAACATAGAATCGTCAACTACACTATCTATGGAGCCTCTAACTGACAATGATGAAAGTCGGGACAAGACCCACGATATCCTAACTAAATCGAAAAGTAAATAACATCTAGAAGCAAGGAGGCTCACCATAGGTAATTCGAACTCTAGATGTATCAACTAAGATTCTCTTGAAGATTCGGAATACTTGTGTCTGCATCATGAAAAGATGCAGGCCAAATGGCTCAGTACGTGGAATATACGAGTATGTAAGGGAAATTCTAAAGCTTAACATAAGTTTGAAACTTGATAAAAATTGTAATATACTTACCACTTTTCAAATTTTAAACTCAACTCTAGGAGTACTCAAGGATATTAAAAACTACTCAACTTACTAAGACTCATTCTATTATACTTAAGTCTGCTACTTCATTTTATAATGAGTTAAACTGTCTGGAACAATGTCGGAGAACAAATAAGTCCTAAAGACAACAAGTATCGCAGTCTAAGGCAAAAACTAGTCTAGTCATAAATTAAGGCCCATCATGCTAAATTATACCATAATAACAACATCCAAGTCAACTCACAAAAATAGAACTAAAGACATAATCATCGACTAGCATGGTATTAAGCTTAAAACAGAGCCAATCATGTCCGATAACATGGTATCAAGAAAAGCAAATAAAAAAACTAGCTACCCGCCCCCAATTCAGTCTAATCAACATATTATTACACATTCAACCTCAACCTAAGAGAAGGGAAATCGTAGTCTAACTTTAGGCTAATCTCGTGTTCTAATCACAATGTCAGAGCCTTTCCCTTGTGAATGGCCTCAAAATGTTGTCACACTATCAAAAATAGGATCACAACGCCAATACAATCATTTCAACACCAAATACACATTAATGAAAATAGGACAACTTTTGAATCAAATATGAATCATGTTTCTTCAAAAATGGAACACAATAGGGGCCATGGAGCAATCAAGAGCACCAACATACAACAATTCAAAATTTACAGCACAAAAACAAGTCATGACAACCTAAAATAACTAGAATTTACCTCGAATTGAGATTCTACAATAGTTTGCGACCATCGACACACAAACTTTTATTTAACCATCATGAACTACCAAGTACACTTTGTTTTGTAAAATTTCCTCTCTATGATAGTCTTACTCAAATATCAATTGACTAATATTTCATCTGTCCCATTTTATTTGAGGTAGTTTGAATCGATACAAAGTTTAAGAAAGGAAGGAAGACTTTTAAAACTTGTGGCCCTAAATTAATCATAGAAATATGTGTGGTTGTAAATTTTTTCATTAAGGGTAAAATAGACATTTTATAGTTAAATAATTACTTAATATTGAAGTATATCATTCTTTTTGGGACAGACTAAAAAGGATAGTAAGTCATATAAATTGGGACATAGGGAGAAATATTTTGTAAAAGATCTATTACATATTAGGATAAAATATTGAAATACTTATGGTAATCCTTATTAGTGTCATGCACATATTAAATTTCAAGTATGCATATTAACAAAATTTGTACTTAAATGATGTACATCATTTGTGTTCATAACATATAGAGGAAAGGCTATTGGCCACATTTTCTAAATGGGTAATTTTTTCTATTTTGTTGATTAGATTTGTTTACAAAATTCAGTGAATGAACAAATAATACTACTAAAGAAATGTCACTTTCTCCAATATTGAAACTTTGAATTTATTTTGAAATGTTTTAATGATATTTGGTCATTCTGATCTATAAACTATAAGTAACTCTTTGACACTATTTTCAATTATAATTATTTACTAAGAAACTTTAACTTAGTAATGCTTACTGTCTTTTATAACATCGTATACTATATACACAATACACACGTGTTGTGAAACTATAATATATATATGCACATATGTTTAATTAATAAAATAGATCTCAGTAGGTAAGTGTATATTAAAATAAATTAATAAACTCCGATCTCAAGAGGCTAGTGTTTTTAAATTATTATTTTAGTAAAATCTAGTTGACTTCATGATGTCGATATTTATTAAATATCTGTAAAAATAGATAATTATATTAAAAGATACCGACATCCCGTGGTTGGTAAATTATCACTTGTTTTAAAAAAGAAATCATGATTAATTTTCATTTTCACTAAAACCCTACCTACCTCACTAGTGCACACCTATGCCCCTTGGTCGACCCCGACGCCACAACAGCGCTGCAGCCGCATAAGGACGTCGCAACACTGCTGGTTGCCGGAAGCAGGTAATTTTAGCTTTAAAAAATTCATTTTTAGTCCTTATTCAACAAATGTCTATTATTGTATGTTGGTTGTATTTCTGCTCTAAGCCTCGAATTGTGTTCAATTTTGGAACACAAGTTCAAGGTAATATTTTAGACATTTTTACAAAGTCAAACAGTAAATTCAGAT